TGTCTGGGAGACAGCCGCCCACAGAAAGGCTGTCTTCCATTAAGGCCACGGAGGATGGAGCCTGGTGGGAATTTTAACAGAAGCTGCAAAGCAAGGAAGGGGGAATGGGCAAGAGTGTGGCTGCTCTCCGCCTTTGGGTAGACTGAGGAAGACGGGAAGCGGTCTCCTCCGCGGGAGACATCACTGCTGTTGCCGTCCTTTCTGTGTTTGGTCTCTCTGGCTTGTATGGTTTGACAAGCTGTGCCTTTTCTGGTCCTGCCAGAGGCCACTCAGCAGTCTGAGGCTACTGTGGCTCCCAGCACTCACCTCTCTCGTGCACCGCAGGAAGGCAATTGTTATCATCAGTGCCTCCATCAATCACTAGGTCGTGGGTGGGGAACTGGACGTCGTGGGTGGGGAAGGGGTAGCAAAAGTCTAACTTACAGAGTATTTTTCAACAGAATTCTGCCCTGACAATTCCTAACACGAAGTGGCGCTCTCTTTCTGAGAAAATGTTACCCATGAGAATTAGTTGATTCACAAAAAAACATGCAAATGAAGAGACTAAAACCCTTGTACTCCTTTTAATAGCACTAGGGAAATACCCTACACTAGTGGGCTGTGCGTGTCCAAAAAGTCACCAAGTATCTGGAAGCTGCCACTTTACAGAGCAACGTAGGTCACTTCGGCACAACAGTGGTGGGGTTGGCAGATGTGTTCGAAGACATCTGTGTCATTGACTGTTGTCAGTGGCCCCAAAAAGGGATATTTTACTGTACAGTTTAAAAACATGGAGAGTGGAATGGAAAGAGATGGATCTGCTGTTGAGAGCACTGGCTGTAGCTGGGCGGGAGGTCACCATTGCCTTTATTCCCAGCACTTTAATCCCAGCAGAGGCAGGCTCTGTGAGTTCAAGGCCAGCCTGGTCTACAAGAGCCAGTGCTAGCACAGGCTCCAAAGCTACACAGAGAAACCCTGTCTTGAAAAACAAAACAAGGGGTTGGAGAGATGGCTCAGAGGTTAAGAGCATTGCCTGCTCTTCCAAAGGTCCTGAGTTCAAGTCCCAGCAACCACATGGTGGCTCACAACCATCTGTAATGGGGTCTGGTGCCCTCTTCTGGCCTTCAGGCATACACACAGACAGAATATTGTATACACAATATATAAATAAAAAAAGAAAAAGAAAAAAAAAGAAAAGAAAAACAAAACAAAAGAGCACTGACTGTTCTTCCAGAGGACCTGGGGTTCAATGCCCGGCACCCATATGGTGGCTCACAACTGCGTTTAAATCTAGTTCCAAGAGATCTGACTGACATTCTCTTCTGTCCTCTGTGGGCACCAGGCATACAAGTGTTGCACAGACGTACATGCAGGCAAAATATTCATACACAGAAAAAATTCCTTTTCTAATTAAAAATACAGAGCAGGGGGCTGGAGAGAAGGCTCAGTAGTTAAGAGCACTGGTTCCCCTTCCAGAAGACCCAGGGTCAATTCCCAGCACCTACATAGCAGCTCACAAGTCTCTGTAACTCCAGTTCCAGGGGGACTCAACACCTTCACATAGACATACATTAAGTAATACCAAAACAAAAAACAGAACAATGTTGAGTTTAAGACTTTGAAAGCCTTTAGTCTCAGAACTTGAGAGGCAGAGGTAGGCATATCTCTGTGTGTTCAAAGTCAGCCCGGTCGGTTTACACAGTGAGCTCCAGAACAGCCAGGGTTATAAAGACAGACCTTGTCTCAGAAAGAAAAAAGACTTTGAAAGCAGATTCTCTGGCTATTGAAATACATCCTGATGAGCAAAACTTGAAGATTGCCTATGGAGACAGAGCTCCTCTTTCCCAAGGTGTCTCAAGAGTACGGCAAGCCAAGAGGGCTCTCGCTGGCTTAGAGCCAGACCCATGTGACTTTAGAGTTGGACTGTGTCAGCAATCCTCCCTCACTCCTGAATCCTCTACAGCGCCCTTTACAGAAGGAAATGCCTTAGGATGAGCAGTAGATGGGCACAGTGTGGCGCCAGCATTTAGGAGTCTGGGTTAGGAGCGTTGGGTGAGTTTTACTTATGGTAAGCTGTCAACTGGCGTAGCCATATCTGACGGGAAGGGCAAAAATCATAAAGCCAGCAAACCTGTGTGACAAAGATCCAGCGAAGCTAAGACACAGGATGGCCACCACACCACTTTCTGATCTCCACATGTGGCATGCATGGAGGGGCTTCTATTTGTACAATTTGGGGATTCAGGATTGATGGGAAATTTCTTATGAATCATTTATGTCTTCTCCCAGGAGAACTGCTTCTAACCTTCCCCAGGAAATTCCTGAGCACACTACCCCTCCCGCTTTTAGGGAGATATCCTTATCTATTTGAAGGTCTTCCTTTACACACATAAAGAAGCTAGAGATCTCTTTACAAGGTTATGAGATAGTTTTAAAACTTCTGCCCCTGCACTTACTCAGGAACAAGATAATCAGAACAAAGTAAATGTAAAAAAAAAAAAAAATCAACAAGAAGCAGGGCGGTGGCAGTGTGAATCCCAGTGTTTGGGAGGCAGAAGCAGGTGGATGTCTGAGTTCAAGGCCAGTCTGGTCTACAAAGTGAGTTCCAGAGTAGACTCCAAAGCTGCATAGATATCTTGTCTCACAAACAAACAACAAAAAAGAAACCCCCCCAAACAAAAACAAAAAGTCAACAAGATGGCAAGCCTTTTCCCACTGCACACTCAGGCAAGATTACGTGGTCCATACAACATCAGAGTTAGATTAGCTGCAGAGGTATCTGCCCTACTCAGGTTCTTATACTGATGGGCAAAGAATGGTGTGGAAAGATGTGAAAAGAATGAGGGGAAGCCGGGTGGTGGTGGCGCACGCCTTTAATCGCAGCACTCAGGAGGCAGAGGCCGGCGGATCTCAATCTGAGGCCAATCTGGTCTACAAAGGAAGTTCCAGGACAATCAGGACTGTTACACAGAGGAACCCTGTCTCAAAAGAAAAGCAGGTGTCTTGAAGCGTCAGGACCTCCCTTTATTAGAAACATTATGTGGAGCCACTGTGTTGTCATAGGACCAAAGAACAACAGAATGCCAGGATTATAAAGATATAAAATATAAACACGGTATGCTATGCCAGAATAACAACTGTGGAAGCTTTTGCCTGAGGACTTTTCTTGGGCGCTCTGACCCTTAAGAGTTAATAATACACTGCTCAGGACATGGCAAACTGCTGGGCTGGCTTGGAGATTTTCTTTCTGTCTAGTGTCCTTGAAGCCACTAGAGCTACCAGCCTGAGAACAGGCTGTCATATGCCTCTAGATTCTTAAAAATTAGGTTATGGGGTTGATGAGCAAAAACGACTGTAAAAAATAACTCTGTTTATCAATGATGACTAAACTTATGAGTCCAGATGTGCAAGGAGAAAAAGTCAAACACATGTTTGAAAACAAAAATGATAGCGATCTATGTTTTGGAACAACACAAATCTATCTCTGCTTACTGAATTCTGTATAAATCAAGATGCACTCCGACAGCCAGTCGGTCGGGCTGCAAGACTCTGGCTGCCACCATGGCCTGGCTCGCTTCTTTGCCTACTGCTTGCCTTCTCTCTGGAACCTGTCAACAGCCTCTGGCATTCAGAAATGGCAGAAATTTGTTGTTCAATATTTCTCAGGTTTGTTTTGTTGAGATAGGGTCTCACATAGCCCAGGCTGCCCTCAAATTCTATCTTTAACCAAGGATGACCTTGAACTCCCCTAATCCTCTCTGTCTTTACCTCCTCAGGGCTGGGATTACAGATGTGCACCACCTCACCTGGATTAAGAACTCAGGGCTTCATTCATGCTAGGCAAGCATTCTATCAACCAAGCTACCACCAATCCGGAGACAACTCATGGATTTTTTTTAACTTAATTTTTCAAACTTTGCTTAATCTTTGGATCCAATTATAAATTACATCCTCTGAGCAAGGCAACTTCAAAGTTCTCAGAATCCTGTATTTAGCTCTAGGCATACACTTAAATCTTAGTATCTTTATTTAAGAAGTCCAACTTTGCTTCATATCTGACTAATCCTAAAATTCTTTTTGGGGGGAGGGGGAAGGGTTTTGAGACAGGGTTTCTCAGTGTAGCCTGGGCTGCCCTGGAACTCACTCTGCAGTCCAGGCTGGTCTTGAACTCACAGAGATCTGCTTGCCCCTGCCTCCCAAGTGCTGGGATTAAAGGCATGTGCCACCACCACCACCTGGCTTAAAATTCTTCTCATAACAGAGCCAAGCAGAAGCAGCAGGGTTGTGGGGTGTGGGGTCCTCCTCAGAATCCAGGTGACTACACCACTTCTGTGATGGCTGATGTTCGTGGCAATCCCAGCCCCACCAGAGATGATCTCCCTACTGAAACGTCTTGATAAGATTGCATGTTCTGGCCAAAGGGAACTAAAAGGCGATCTCCTGGATACCTAGACAGTAATCAGAAACCCTAGAGCACTTATGAAAACCCCAAATGACCAAGTAGCTTGGTGTGTGCTCTGTGGGCAGCTTCCAATAGTGAGAAAAATTCTACTAGAAAGAAAAAAAATACAACCAACAAAACCCTGTTCCTTGTTCCTGTCATTCGTGACTTCTTAGCCTAAAAGGCACTGAGGTTGGCTTCAACTCACTAGCCCATTACACGGAAGAATTTGCCCTAGGTTTTTCCTTGCAAGTCATAGCAGAATCTGCTCGAGTTATTAACATGCCATCCAGCTATAAAGAGTATATATCTTGAACTAGGTTAACACAGTAATTTTGGGAAGCTACAGACTTGTTTTGAGGCAAGCTTTCTATATAACCTTAGCTACTTTAATTATGTTAAATTAAATGTTACTTTAATTATGTAAAGATGTGTTGCATTTGTTTATGTTGCAGAATATTACTGTACCATGTAAAGATGTGTTAGACTTGTTCATGCTGCATTTAATTATGTAAAGATGTGTAGCTGTTTTACCTTGCCTGCCTAAGGCACCTGATTGGTCTAATAAAAAGCCAAACATGTGCTCGCTTCAGCAGCACATAAACTAAAATTGGAACGATACTGAGAAGATTAGCATGGCCCCTGTGTAAGGACAACACACAAATTCAAGAAGCATTCCACTAAAAAAAAAAAAAAAAAGGCAAACAGCCAAAAGCTGGGCAGTAGAGCGATAGTTGGGGCGGGTGGAGAGAATAGATAGGAGGGTGAATCTAGGAGTCAGAGAAGAGAAGGGAGAACAAGGGAGGAGAGAAAGAGGGAGAAAGAAAGGGAGAGGCCTGGGGCCACCCAGATAGACGCAAAGTAGGACACAAAGAATGAAAGTTAAAAAGCCTTGAGGCAAAATATAGATGAAGAGAAACAAGTTAAAATAAGTTGTGAGAGCTAGCGGATTTAAGTATGAACTAAGTCTGAGCATTCATAACAATAAGTCTCTGTGTCATGAACTGAGAACTGGTTTGTGGCCTAAAGAAAATATGCTACACTAACTGTCTTGGAGTTCACTGTGTAGACAAGGTTATCCTGGAATGCAGAGATCCACCTACCTCTGCCTCCCAAGTGCTGGGATTAAAGGCACACACCACCACATTATTTATATAATAACTAATTTGGTTCCTGTCCTACTGTGGGTTTCTATTGCTGTGATAAAAGACCATGACCAAAGCAACTTGGTGAGGGAAGGGTTTGTTTGGCTTACACTTCCATATCACCGTTCATAATCAAAGAAATCAGGACAGGAACTCAAACAAGGCAGAACCCTGGAGGCAGGAGCTGATGCAGAGGCCATGGAGGGGTGCTGCTTACTGGCTTGCTCCCTATGGCTTGCTCAGCCTGCTTTTTTGTTTCTTTGTTTGGTTTGAAAGATACCCGATTTGGGTGTTTTCCCCTCGGGGACCACAACGCCCAAGAACCAAGACTAGTCCGCACTAGATGCAAAAGCAAGAGGTATTTAAAGCAAGAGGTATTTTTATTTGTTTATACGAGCGCCCGTGGACACTGTAGCTTTCAGGTGGCTGAGCTTGTGGGGCTAAATTCGGGGCTGGTTATATAGCAAGAAGCGAGCTTACAGAAGCAGATGCATTCTCAATGGTTATTTCAGATGACAATGGGGTCAGGTCAGGGACGGGTTGTCTATTCATCTTGAATACATGGGAATAAGTTAAGGCAGCCCACTCTGGGCTTCCTGAATATATGGGAATAAGTTAAGGCAGCCCACTCTGGGCTTCCTGAATATATGGGAATAAGTTAAGGCAGTCCACTCTGGGCTTCCTGCTCCCTTTTTGTCTTCCTCTCGGCCGAAGGCTGACCTCCAGGTATCTGACTACAGATATCCTGTTTTCTCAGTAGGGGCCCATCTGACCTCAGGGCGATTATGCTGACCTGGGAACAGCTTGACCTGGTTTGGACGATAGCTACAATGGGAATTCCCCGAGGCAGGCGGGCGGGGGTTTTTCAGGTTTTTGGTTTTTCAAGACAGGGTTTCTCTGTAGTTTTAGGGCCTGTCCTGGAACTGGCTCTAGTGCACCAGGCTGGCCTTGAACTCACAGAGATCTGCCTGTCTCTGCCTCCTGAGTGCTGGGATTAAAGCTGTGCACCACTGCCGCCAGGTTCAGCCTGCTTTCTTGTAGAACTCAGGTCCACCAGTCTAGAGATGGCACCACCCACAATGGGCTGGGCCCTCCCCCGTCAATCACTAATTATGAAAATGCCTTCCAGCTGGATCTTATGGAGACATTTTCTCAGTTGAGGTTCCTTCCTCTCAGATGACTTTAGGTTGTGTCAAGTTGACATAAAACTGTCCAGAGCAGGCTTCTAAGGTAGGTCTATCTAGTAATAAGATTTTCTCAAATAACTAGAATTGGAAGTCTTGGAGAATGAAGTTGATACCATGGGAGTATCATTAATGTCAACCCTGCCCCTGGGGTTTTGCAGGCACTAACTGGGTAGGTGCCATTTAAGACAAACCCACAGTGGATTAGGTCCTAGCATCTGCTGATCAGCTTGGAACAAAACAGCCAATAGTGAGAGGCAGGCAGATCTCTGTAATTTCAAAGCCAGTCTGGTCTTTATAGGGAGTTCAGAGTTACATAGTGAGACCCTGTCTCAAAACAAAAGAAAACAAAAAAAACAGAGTGGCAGGCTTATTGTGGGAAACATAGTACAGTCAACTGTGGCAAAACCCAAGGGATATGATTGTGTGCTACAGACAGAGGAGTTTGTGTTTCTGCAAGGTTGGACCTTTCTAAAAACATCGAGCCGGAAACTTGAGTTCCTATAGCTTTGGAAAACTCAGCTACAACGGCAGAGAGGGAGAAACCCATGTGATTCACTGAACCCGAAAGGCATGTGTTCATCCTGCCAGAGAACAGGAGGCTCAGAGACATCTCCAGGGGAGATCTCTAGAGAGATTATTTATACTGCAAAGGGAAAGAATACAGAGCCTTCCCATCTGGTATTCTAAGCCCTCTCCTTGGGGAAGGGAAGAAGCAACTGTTTTTGTCCTGTGTATAAGCTAAGAGAGACCGCTGTTCTGTTTGGAGGTGCATCCGGCAGGTCCTGGGCGGGGCCTCCGTGGTTAAGAGCACTGGCTTGGACCTGTATCCTGCCTACCTACCTGTCATCACAAGACCCTCCCACATGCTATCACACCCCAGGAAGCATGTCCTGTGCACCAGACCAGTCCCTCTGCCCATCTGACTGCATTCCATCCACCTCTAGATCCACCTCCAGCCCCACATCTTCTCTTCTTCCTTCCCCTGCTCCACCCATAACAAACTTAAAACTAACAAAGGCAGTCCATGTGCCCAGCCTTTCTTGCAGGAACACCAACAATGTGAAAGACTGAGTCGACAGCTTCTCTCCAAACTCACCAGTCCTGTCCAAATGCTTGCCAGTGAGAGTTACCTAGATGAACTACAGGATACAGAAATGAAAAGAACAATTATGAGGGGCTGGAGAGATGGCTAAGTGGTTAAGAGCACTGACTGTTCTTCCAGAGGACCTGGGTTCAATTTTCAATTCCCAGCTTCCACATTATTGCTGTCAACTGTCTGTAACTCCAGTTCTAGGGGATCTGACACAGACATGCATGCAAGTAATATACCAATGCACATTTAAAAAAAAAAACTAGAGAAAATAAATGCCCGAAATGCCCAGAAAAATGCCCACAAACATAAGGCTGTTGGAAGTGACAAAGGCAATCCAGAACTTGAAAATGTTATTCAATAAAAAAACAGAAACATTGATGAGGGCTTGAGCCAAAATAGGGATGGGATTGAAAAAGCCCAACTAGTAACCACGAAGGGAAGCCTCACCAGTAGCATGACCAAGCAGAAGACAGAATATTAGGTCTCAAAAATAAAACAGAAGATCTGGACCGAAAAATCAAGGAACATATCAAATTTTAAAAACAAAACAAAACAAAAAAACAGGAAAAGAACACACAGGTAATATGAAATACCATAAGAAAAACAAACCTTCAAATTATAGGTATAGATGAGGGAGAAGAATCCAAAGTCAATAGCATAGACCAGATTGTCCACAAGATCATAGACGAAAACTTACCCAAGCTAAAGACAGACACACCCATGCAACCACAAGAAGCATGCAAGAGCTGAGTTTGAGGCTGGGCAGCGGTGGTGTGTGACTTTAATCCCAATACTAGGGAGGCAGAGGTAGGAGGATCTCTGTGAGTCTGAAGCCAGCCTGTCTACAAAGCAAGTTCCAGGACAGCCAGGGCTACACAGAGAAACCCGTCTCCAAAAACAAAAACAAAAATAAAGGCTGAGTGTGGTGGTAGACACCTTTAACACCAGCAGCCCTCAGGAGACAGAGGCAGACCAATCTTTGTGAATTTAAGGAAAGCCTGGTCTACATAGTGAGTTCAAGAACAGTCAGGTCAATGTAGAGACCCTGTTTCAAAAAACAAAAGAAACCAAAAAGTACACAGAACATTGAATAGATGGGACCAGAAAAGAAAATCCCCAGGGCATATCACAGTAAAACACTAAGAACACTTAACAAAGGGTACTGAAAGCTACAAGGGAAAAAAGGAAAACCCATCAGAATGACATGAATTTCTCAACAGAACTTTGAAAGTGAAGACCATGGATAAAAGCCACAAGGACCATGGAGCATTCCAAGTCCTAAGAGATATGACAACCAACATAAAATAATATAGTCAGCAAAACTGTTCGCCATGATTGAAGGAGAAAGGAAAAGATCCTATGACATAAAGAGCATTTAAATACACGCACACACACACACACACATACACACACACACACACACAAAATGTGTAGCCAACAACCAAACCTAAGAAAAATACAGAAAGCTTTATTTTGGGCTGGGTTGAAGAGAGGATTGAGCACAGCAGAGAGACTGTGAAAAGAAACACACAAAGCCACAATTGCTAAAACACAAAACACCACTGTCAACACAACACAACAAAAATCAATAGCACAATCCACAACACACACATTTCAACAACACACACAATTCAGCAATAACTTTACATGTCCATATCAATGGCCTCAGATACCAAATCAAAAGGCACAGACTGGCCTCAAACTCATAGACAGAGATCCATCTGCCTCTGTCTCCCAAGGGCTGGGATTAAAGGTGTGTGCCACCACCACCTGGCAACACATTTTAGTTTTAAAGATAGACACCACCTTAGAATAAAAGGACTCCAATCGAATGGGACCAGGAAGCTAGCCTAGTGTCTGACGAAATAGACTTCAGTTAAAACCAATCAGAGGAGATAAAGATGGGCACTTCATTCCAACCAAAGAGTTATAACCAAGAAGATATTACTCTCCTAAACATGTATATGCCAAACTCCAGGGTGCCCACTTTTATAAAAATTCATTACTGGAATTAAAGACCCAGATTAATATCAATCCATTAATAGCAGGTGATTTCAGGAACTCATTTTCTCCAATAGTTCATTTGGGCCAAAACTAAACAGAAAAACATCAGAGCTAAATGGACATCATTGCTCGAATGGACCTAACAGCTCTATCAACAGATTATGCAAACACTAAAGGATACACACCCTCATCAGCGCATGCAGAAACCTTTCCAAAAGAAATCCTTACAAATTCAAAACACCTGAAAACACTTTTTGT